AAAATAAAATGAAATTAATAAAAGTACCAAAATTTGACTCTATAATTCATACCTTACTTCTTTTCCCTTACAGTTAAACTTCTTCAAATTAGTGTCCACACTTTCTGTTTCTATTTTTTTACTTTCCTTTCCTTCTCATCTAGGCCATAACCAGCAGCCAAAGTAACAAAATTCAACCAACAGTTTTCTGTCCTCATCTATATCGCCTCAGCTAACACGTAGTGTTTGAATGAGGGTTTTCACTGACCATCATCTATCCCAAGGTAGAGTCTGCCTATAGTAGTACAGTTTCAGCAATTTTAAGGGGATAGTAACAGGGACCAGCAGATGGCATAGTGTTTATATTACTGGACTCCCATGAAGTCGACCACAGTTCGAATTCCGGACCCTGTGGCTTAAAACTCATGCTGGACACCTGTGCGTGGCCAAGATCCCAAGAGGAGAATGAAGGAGAAGGGATTGTGTCATGGTCATTCCCACTAGGGGGTGATTTTTCACTTCTGTCTCTGTCTGGTGAGTGCACGCACCCTAGAGCAAAAATCTCTCACTCTTTCTCTCTCTCAGAAAAAAAAGGATAATCAGAAATACACAAATGTGTATTAAAACACATTATTCTATGCCAGCCTTGTAGCACAGTAGTTAAGGGAGCTGGATCTCATATGGCCAACTGTGGTTCTAATTCTGGCCCTATTGGCTTGAAAAACATTCTGGAACATATGCACATGTGCTCCAAATCCTGATGGTATGGAGAGATGGCGGATAAAAGACTGTGGCATGAACATGCCCCATTGAGCATGTGTGTTTGTATGTGCACATTTCCTCCCTCTCCCTCTCTCTGGTGAGCACACACCTGGCTATTAAAAAACATATTATGCCTCAGTTATTGCCATGGGTGGATACACCTAAGGTTGGATAGATAAAATGAAATTAACAGCACAATACATGGTTTAAAAATGAACACATAAACTAAAGAAATAAAAAACTAAGAAGTAAGTAGCTTTTCACTGGGGAGACCTTCTGCAGAGGAATCAGTATAGGGACTGTAGTCCTAGACCCCATGTTCATGATGTCTGTAGAATGGTTCCCTTGAAACTTCCCTCTACACATTTATTTAGAATCTCACTCTAAACCTGTGATTGATTAGAGGTCTGGGTGAACAAGGCAGGTGACTATTAGCCAGCTTATTTGGGTTACGGGTTGATGAGAAGCTGAGGTGGACCCTGGAATTGGCCATTCTAGAGAAGTTGAGCCAAAGTGAGACATGGTGTAGAGACATCCTGAGCCTAGGGAGTCACCCTAGGATTTGTAAACTCCAATTCCTAATTTTTGTTCATTTGTTTTACCTTCTTTTTTGGAGGTTTTTGCTATAGGGCGCGTGCACTCCCCCGACAAAGACAGAGAGATAGAAAGCGAGAAATCACTCCCTAGGGGGGATGGCTACGCCACAATCCCTTCTCCTCCATTATCCTCTTGGGATCTTGGGCATGCATGCACACGTGCCCGGTGTGAGTTTAAGTCACTGAGTCCGGGACTCGAACTGCGGTCGACTACTTGGGAGTCCAGATCTGGAACATATGCACATGTGCTCCAAATCCTGATGGTATGGAGAGATGGCGGATAAAAGACTGTGGCATGAACATGCCCCATTGAGCATGTGTGTTTGTATGTGCACATTTCCTCCCTCTCCCTCTCTCTGGTGAGCACACACCTGGCTATTAAAAAACATATTATGCCTCAGTTATTGCCATGGGTGGATACACCTAAGGTTGGATAGATAAAATGAAATTAACAGCACAATACATGGTTTAAAAATGAACACATAAACTAAAGAAATAAAAAACTAAGAAGTAAGTAGCTTTTCACTGGGGAGACCTTCTGCAGAGGAATCAGTATAGGGACTGTAGTCCTAGACCCCATGTTCATGATGTCTGTAGAATGGTTCCCTTGAAACTTCCCTCTACACATTTATTTAGAATCTCACTCTAAACCTGTGATTGATTAGAGGTCTGGGTGAACAAGGCAGGTGACTATTAGCCAGCTTATTTGGGTTACGGGTTGATGAGAAGCTGAGGTGGACCCTGGAATTGGCCATTCTAGAGAAGTTGAGCCAAAGTGAGACATGGTGTAGAGACATCCTGAGCCTAGGGAGTCACCCTAGGATTTGTAAACTCCAATTCCTAATTTTTGTTCATTTGTTTTACCTTCTTTTTTGGAGGTTTTTGCTATAGGGCGCGTGCACTCCCCCGACAAAGACAGAGAGATAGAAAGCGAGAAATCACTCCCTAGGGGGGATGGCTACGCCACAATCCCTTCTCCTCCATTATCCTCTTGGGATCTTGGGCATGCATGCACACGTGCCCGGTGTGAGTTTAAGTCACTGAGTCCGGGACTCGAACTGCGGTCGACTACTTGGGAGTCCAGAGACATAGCCATTACGCTAACTGCTGATCTCTGTTTTACCTTCTAAAGAAATACTCACTAGGTAAATTGGGCTCATTCAAAGGAGGATGAGCAGGTTGAGTATAGGGTACTGCAGCATGTGAGATAAAGGAGATTTAAAGAAACAAGGTGATTGGCCATGAGAATTGAATTTGGGTAAATACAGAAACTGACTTTAGTGAGATATACTATAGCAAAATAATAAAAAGTGTTCTAGGAGTAAATCTAGGGAAGCTGAGTCAAAGATATAGAAAAATTTATTTGACTTTCCATGAGAAAGATCACATACTAACAACTTCTTGCATATGAAAGAAAACAGGACAAAATATATAGCTGCATCATTCCTGACTAGGCCAATGCAGGACAGTTATTCAGAGTACTTTAAGCCTCAGAGAGGAGCTGAATTAGATGACTGTTGACTTCCCTTTTTACTCTGCTAGTATGTTTATATGGAATTTGTGGTAATTATATAAAGCTCATTTTCTGGCACTTTTAGGAGAGAAGATATCGAACTAGGAAATATTATTTGTCTGTAGCACCTTTTCACAAGTTGACATACTCTGAGTGTGAAACATTACAGTACTAAAGATCTTTCCAGATGTTTTTATTTTTTATTTTTTAGAGAGAGATTTTTGCTAAAGGGTGTATACACTGGCCAGAACGAGAGACAAAGAGACGGAAAGCTAGAAATCACGTCCTGGGGAATGGCCGCACCACAGCCCCTTTCGGTCCATTCTCCTCTCAGAATTTTGGGCACACATGCACACGTGCCTGGCATGATTTTGAAGCCACTCGAGTCCAGGGCTTGGACTGTGGTTGGCCATGTAGAAGTCCAACGACATAATCATTACTCCATCTGCTGGTACCTATTTTAATTTTGTTAAAATTTTAAAAAAGATTGCTATAAAGTCCATGTGCTTGCCAGAGAGAGAGAGAGAGAAAGAGACAGACAGACAGACACACACACATACAGAGCGAGAGAGAGAGAGAGAGAGAGAGAGAGAGAGAGAGAGAGAAAGAGAGAGAGAAAGAGAAAAAGCACCTCCCAGGAGAACAGCCATACTGCAATCCCCTCTCCTCCATTCTCCTCTTGGAGTCTTGCCTAAGTACATATACATGCCTGGTATGTGCTTCAAGCTACCAGATCCAGGACTTGAACCACACTGCCAGCCATGTGGGATCCAGGCACCCTAACCACCACATCATCAGCCAGCTCAGTATTTTGTACATTTTAGAGTCTATTTCAAGGTTTATAAATGACATCCAAACCTGTTATGTGTTTGATGTTAGAGTCACTCTGCTGTTTATATTAGATGTAATTTCAGCATACTTTGCCTCAAACCTCCTAGATTCAACTGTGGTTATGCTTAAAACATGTCCATGGCAGCTGAATCAACTACAAACTCCCCGTAATAGTACCTAGGCTTGTTTTTCTGCCCTTGCCTTCATTACTTCATTCCTTCCTTCCTTTGTTCTTTCATTCCCTCTTTCCAAAGCTTATTTCATGGGGAGGGAGAGAGAGAGAAGCAGGCAGAGAAGCACCCTTAACAGAATATCAACTTGCTGGGACCAGCAGTTGGTGTGATGGCTATGTTGCTGGACTCCCATGCAATCAACCGCAGTTCGAGTCCCGGACCTGGTGGCTTAAACTCATGCCAGGCGCATGTGTGTTCGTGCCCAAGATCCCAAGAAGAGAATGGAGAAGGGACTACAGTGTGACCATCCCCCCTGGGGGATGATTTCTTGCTTTCTGTCTCTCTGTCTGTCTCTGTCTTTCAGGTGAGTGCATACACCCTATACCAAAAACCTCTCCAAAAAAAAAAAAAAACAAAACAAAAAACCCAACCAAACAAACAAACAAACAAAAACCCCAAAACCAAAACAAACCAGAATATCAGTTTGCAAACCTCCCACCCCCAGCTCTCTAACCAGCCAAGATCACAGACATACATATGCATCCTCAGCATGTACAATCAACTTGGGAATCAAACCTGGATCTTTCACATGACCTCCAGCATTGCAGAGTGTAGTATTGATACTGTGGCACCATAGCAGGGCTCCTGACACCTTTTATCATCAGGAAAAAACAAATGTAACAGTCATCTTTTAATTTCCTCTCTCTGTTTAGGTGGAATATTCCATTTCTAGAATGAATCCTTCCTTCTCATTCTTCTTCCTGAAATTATCTAATTCATAATTGCTTACACTGAAATTCCACTCCTCTTTATGGATGTTGTCATTACTTTAAAAGTCAAACCCAGGGACCAGCAGATGACATCATGGTTACATCGCTGGACTCCCATGTAGTCGACCACAGTTCAAGTCCTGGACCTGGCGGCTTCAAACTCACACTAGGTGTGTGAGCATGTGTGCCCAAGATCCCAAGAAAAGAATGGAGGAGAAGTGATTGTGGTGTGGCCATCCCCAACGTGGGGTGATTTCTTGCTTCCCGTTTTTCTGTCTTTCTGTAATGCTCCAGTGAACACACATACCCTAGAGCAAAACTCTCTCTCTTTCAAAAAAAAAAAAAAAAAAAAAAAAAAAAAAGCCAGACCCAGAGATTATTGTCTTTGAGAGAAGGACTTCCTTCCAGCTAGTTTTCTGAGAGCCCCCTTGACATCCTTGTTCCTCAGGCTATAAATGATGGGGTTCAACATTGGAGTCACAACTGTATAGAACACAGATATCATCTTATCCCGCTCTTTTATAGTCTTGGAGTTTGGCCTCATGTACGTAAATATTCCTGATCCATAGAAGAGGACAACGACAATGAGATGGGAGCCACAGGTGGAGAAAGCCTTCAGCCTCCCCTCCCCAGACTGCATCCGGATCACAGTGGAGATGATATTCCAGTAGGAGACAAGGATGAGGGAGACAGGAGCCAGGAGGATGACCACGCCCATTGCAAAGATGGCCATTTCTGTGCTGTAAGTGTCTGCTGAAGCCAGCTTCAAGAGGGCAGGAGGTTCACAAAAGTAGTGATTGATTATGTTCAGTCCTCGATAGGGAAGACGGAAAGTAAAAGTGGTATCTACTAGAGACACTAGTGCCCCACTTGCCCAGGACCCTACAGCCAACTGGAAGCATACCGGTTGTGTCATGATGGTAGAGTAGTGCAGGGGCTTGCAGACAGCCACATAGCGGTCATAGGACATCACCGCCAGCAAAGCGCACTCTGTACATCCAACCAGAAGGAACACAATGATTTGTGTCATACATCCAAAAAAAGAAATGGTTTTCTTCTTTACCAGGAAGTGGATCAACATTTGAGGGACAATGCTAGTTGAGAAACAGAGATCTGCAAAAGAGAGGTTTCTAAGAAAAAAGTACATGGGGGTGTGAAGTCGAGAATCCATGAAGATGAGAATGACGATGAGTAGGTTTCCAAGCACAGTCAGCAGATAAATGATAAGGAAAAGAATAAAGAGCAGAATCTGGCTCTGCCAGTCCTGTGAAAGGCCCAGGAAGATAAACTCAGCCACTAAGCTTTGATTTTCTTCTCCCATTAAGGTTTATATTGGTTTACCTAGTTGGCACAAATAAAAAGAACAAAATTTGATTTTGGGTTTATGACATTAAATCCTGTAGGAAAAGTTCATGTTAAAAACAAATGGCACCTTATTGGATATTTCAGTTTCTGGCTATCAAATGTTCACTTTGATAATAAATGGATATTTTCTTTTCTTTTCTTTTTTTTTTTTTTTTTGGAGAGGTTTTTCACTATAGGGCGCGTGCGCTCGCCAGACAGACAGAGACGTAGAGACAGAAAGTGAGAAATCACCCCCCGGGGGGATGGTCACGCCGCAATCCCTTCTCCATTCTCCTCTCAGAATCTTGCGCACGCACACACACGTGCCTGGTTGAGTTCTAAGCCACCGGGTCCGGGACACGAACCATGGTCGACTACGTGGGAGTCCAGCAACATAGCCATTACGCTAACTGCTGGTTCCCATAAATGGATATTTTCATTCTTATTAGTTGTTTGTAATTTAACCAACCTCATTTTTTTTTTTTTTTGTCCCGATGCCTTCTCCCCAGTGCCACTGTTCTGTAGATAGAGTATGATATTGTTAAAGCCTTGTTGGCTGGTTCTGATGTGAAGACATTAGAGTTCATGTGGGTTCTCCTAATTGGTTATATACACAGTGTTAGGAAGTAAACGTGTGTACTGTGAGAACCATCCTTATACAGAAAATTGCATCATTAACTTAAAAATACTACATAATTAATTATAACATACTTGGAAAACATAAAGCAGTTCAGGCAGCAAACTAAATTTGACCTTTGAAAAGCAACAGATTTTTTCTTAGGCTTAACAAAAAAGCCTTAGCACATTATAAACTAAATTTTATCTGTATTAAAGAAAAAAAATTAAAACTCTAAAAACAGAGAAGAAATAAAATTGTGGTATCTGGATATCACAATTCTGGATAGGACCAGAACTGAAAAACATAAAAGCCTTCTTAAAAAAACCATAAAAATAAATGTGTACAATTTACAACATAAACTGAAAGACATTTGCGAGATAATAAAGAAGCAATATTAGGAGATAAATCACAAACTAAGGAGCGAGATGCCAACATTAAGAATCTAAAGAAAAAACTATGAAAAAATAAGGAGCCGAGGACATGAACAGACGATTTACTGAGAAGAAGTGCAAATAGCACATAAATATAAGAAAAATATTCAATATTATTATAACTCAGTAGGTATAATTATTACAACAAGGGATACATTTTTCACCTGGGTAATTATCTTAAGATTTAAAAGCCAAAATAACCCCCCAAAAATACCTACTGTTTTATTGAACAGGCATTACTTTCAGGTTTTTATACGATGAAAATAATATTATGAGGAAGATACTGGTAATCATCTCTCATAGATGAAGAAAGCGAGGCATAGAGAGGTTCAGTTACTTTCCCTAAATTGCATAGTTAATACCTGACATAATTCGTTAAGTGAATACGATTATTACAATCTTCCTGGAAAATAGTTTTGTCAAATACATTAAAAGACGAGTACTCATAGACTTTGATCCAATTCTCAATAGTATGGGCTTAATTTCTATTTCACTAGTACTTCCTTCCTCATGAGGAGTGAAATACTGAGATGTAACATTTTAGGATGTTGATTGGTCTGTGTGTGCTGTAGGGTAGGGTCACCATACTTTATTTTATTTATTTATTTTAAAATAATTATTTATTTAATTTTATTTATTATTACTTTTTAACTTGACCAGAGAGAGAGAGAGAGAGAGAGAGAGGAAAAGTGAGAAAGCAAGTCACCAGGTCTGGGATTCCAACTGTGATCAGCCATGTGGGATTCCAGCACCTTAACCACCATGCCACCTGCTAGCCCCAGGGTCACCATACTTTAAAATGTCATGCATATTTCTATCTCCTTTCTTCATGGAACTAAATAGGTTAGTTAAATAAGATCTCTCTTATTTAAGTGTCCTTTGCTTGCTCTCTTCTCTCACTTTTAAATGGTGCCTAGGTGTACTACTCACTTTGTTCTATATCACATTGCCAGCCACAAGGTACTATGATGATAGTAGATTAGGTACTATTATGATGGCAGATTTAAGCAGTAAGAGAATTTGAAGTACTTTAGGTCAGGCAAGTTTATCAACTAAAGCTTACCAGAAGAACATTCAGGCATGGGAACCAGCAGTTAGAGTAATGGCTATGTTGCTGGACTCCCACGTAGTCGACCGCGGTTCGTGTCCCTGACTTGGTGGCTTAAAACTCACTCTGGGCGCGTGTGCATGCGTGCCCAAGATCCCGAGAGGAGAATGGAGGAGAAGAGATTGAGGCGTGACCATCTCCCCTGGGGGGTGATTTCTCGCTTTCTGTCTTTGTATCTCTCTGTCTCTCTGGCGAGCGCATGCGCCCTATAGCGAAAATCTCTCCAAAAAAAAAAAGAAAAGAAAAAAAAAAAGAACATTCAGGCAGGACTAACCCAATTAATAAATAAGTGGTGTCTTATTTTAAATTATTTCTTGTTTCTTTCATAGAACTCTAAAGGGATGAATGTCCAGGACTAGAGTACTAGTAGAGTTCTTGAGTGTCCTAGGCCTAATATCATCTAATATTCCTAAATGTTACCCTGATTTCTAAACCCACTTCTAGGAGTCTATCTAAAAGCATGCTCTAAATTGCAGGAAAATGTTCATAAGCAAGTGTGTTTATCACATTATATAATAAAATAATAGAAGTAATTTAAAGGGCCAACAGTATAGGATTAGGTAAATTATCTATATTATGAAACAATATGTAATCATTAAATGATAACTGTGAAGAGCTTTTCTTGGCATTGAAAATGATTTTTTGTATCATCTTAATTGAAAAATGCAGGACTCAAAATTCATTTATAGTGAGCTTTCAAACAGATGTAACTGTAATAGTGAAAGGGGGCACAATATGGGCATAATATTAATTACATATAGGCACAATACCTATTTCTCTAGCTATAAGTGGAGTTACCATAATTAGTGAAACATTCTCCCTATTCAGAAAACCACTTCCTCTCTCAATGATTTCTGAAATCCCACAGTGAATAACTTACTAGGAATCAGGAATGTATCACTGCCAGCTCCAAAGTAATGCATTTTCTTTTTTCCCTTTTTTGGTTATTTAGGCACTATCTGAGTACTGCTGCTTCCTCTGGGTCCTACAGATAATGGTTATTAAAACAATTAATAATGACAGCCACTTCCCATTGGCACCTTTGTTATTGCCCTAGGGATCAACACTAATGCATATTTTCAAAGTGCACAGAAATGACTGGAAAAAAAATTCCAAAGTGTTGAGAGTGGTTGACTCTGGGTTCCAGATTTATAGGTAGATTATTTTTATTCTTTTCTAATGTTTTGTTACTTTAAAGGACTGCATGTTACCAATATATGAAAATATAAAACTGAGACCATCCAAGCAGAGCTTAATTGAGGAAGCTCTAAATTAGAGACACTTCTTTGCTTCTGCTCTCAGCCTTGATAATTTTGCTGGACCAAGACTAGCCCTCATACTGAAAACCAAAAGAAACCAAAATATATGGAACAACTGATACTGTACAACAGCTGATTCAGAAAGTAATGCCCATATAGCAAGGAAACTAGCAAGGTAAATACCATACTTACACTGACTGTATGCTTAGAAGGTACTCTTTGTGCCTCATGAAGTTGGAGCCTAAGCAGAGCATGATGATCACTGAACTGAAGAGAGAGAGATCCGTAACTGATAGTGGAAATGGTGGAAGATAGTAACAGAAATGAAAAAAGTTCCTGAGAAAGGGCTCAGGAATCTGTGCAAATCTTAGCTGAATACTAAGATGTACATACACAAGAGAAGACTGCCAACCTCCACCCCAAAGAGCAACTGTCAGGGAGCTCATGTAAGGGTATATAATTTTGAAATTTCAGCTAGTCAAAGTTAATAACATTCACTGAAAAATTTTCTGACATCAAGATGATAACTCAGAGGGGACAGTCTTAAGAGTAGGCTGTACTGAGTTAAGGATGCATATCGTAACCAAATAACCACTAAAATATAATACAAGGGTTAAGTTAAACATCAAATAGAAAATACATAAAAAATAAATGGACTACGCATTCTAATTAGAAGGCAGAAATGACCAGTTTGGACAAAAAGGAAGAACTGTCAATATTTTGTTTACATGAGATGTTTTTTTAAATGTTAAAATATAGTTGGGTGAAAATAAAAGGATGAATACACTAGTCATAAGAAAACTGGAATGGCTATATAAATATCAGATAAAGTAAACTTCTATATAAAGGAGTAGTATCTGAAATAAAGGACATGTCAAAATGACAAAAGTGTCATTCATCAAAAAGACAAAGCCATACTTAACAGAATGTGCTTAATAATGAAGCCTCTGAACAGCCCAGGAAAAATATCAATAAAGCAAAAAGACAACCTTCAGAAAGGGAGAAAATATTAGCAAACTGCCTCTGACAAGGGATTAACATTCAGAATATATAAAGATGTCAAACAACTCAGCAGCAAAAATATCCAAGTAATCTGATTAAAAATGGTGAGATGATCTGAATAGACATTTCTCAGAAAAAGACATATAAATGGCCAACTATATATTTTTTAAAAAGCACAGCATCACTAATCAGGGAGATGGCAAAACAAAATCACAATAAGATAGCTTCTCACCCTAGTTAGAATGGCTATAGACAACAAGACGAAAAATAACAAATGCTGGCAAAGTTGTGGTGGAAAGGGGATTCATAACTATGGGAAGAACTCTAAATTCATATAGTCATTATGGAAAATAGATAGAGGTGCCTCAAAAGCTAAAATAGAACTACTATATGATACAGCAACCTCACTGTTGGGTACATATCCACAGGAAAGGAGATCAATATGTTAAAGAGAATTTTTTCTTATTTATTAAAAAGAACTAATTAGAAAATTAATTAAAAATAGAGACACTTCATGATAGCAACCTCTCTCAAATATTTAGCTGTAAATTCAACAAAATAAGTTTGGAGACAATATAAGGAAAGTCAACATGCAAA